TGGTTGAGGTCCGGCAGGGAATACTGGGCGTGGATGGTCGTGGTTGAGGTCCGGCAGGGAACACTGGGCGTGGATGGTCGTGGTGGAGGTCCGACACAGAACACTGTGGATCGCGAGTCGCAGTTGAGCAGGAAGACGAGGAGGACAACGAGAGGAGGAGGAGGAGGACGAGGAGGACCAGGCAACTGACATAAAATCTAACAACCCTCACCTGGCAGGTGGGAAACAAATAATTTTTTTACATGGCTAATCCGGAACTCCCATTTTTTACAAAGGCTTTTTAGGTTATGATTTTTTAAAAAAAATATTTTGAGGGATAATAAACAAATTCTTTGAAGTTTTGTGATTTACTAAAATTGTTGATGTATTTCGGCTATTATTTATATCGTATATAAACCAAACAAATTTCAATATTGATAATATATTTCAATTAATTCTTTAATAAGGATATTTTTCAGGGACGCCGGACTATTGCACATTTATGAGCGTTTGAAAACAAAGCGTTTGAAAATTATATGATATTATTCACTTCTTTTGGAATTTTCCCTGGCTAAAACATAAGTTAACCCGGGTTATTATTTCCCCCTTGATTCTTTAGAAATTTAATTTGGAATCTTAAATTAAATTTATTAATATTTAAAATCTTGACTAAAATATGGCTTCATAAATGTAACCAAATTAACAATAAATATGATAAAAACAATAAATTGCATATATTGATTTATATAAATAAATATGTTTATTTTTTTGTAAGGTATAGCTCTAAAGAATTAGAATACTAGCTCGAGTCTAGTCCAATTCTCATATCCAGATGTACCTGGAAATCCCCAAGATTCCCAGACATAACACCAATTATCTCTAGAAGATCCATCGAAACCCACTGTGTCCGGAAATATAACCTTATTTTTTAATGATATCCTTCCAAAAAATACCCGAAATTGTGAAAAATTACCAGGCTTTGCAGGGTCGACATTAATGGCAATAACCATCAAAGAACCGGACATCCGGATCAAAGATTGAATACAAAGGGGGATATGTTGTTTACAATCAATTTTAATCAAATCAGAAAAATCAAATAAGAGGAGGCAGCCAAAGACAACGCTTTGGCAGAAGCTTCTGCCATGACAAAAACAGAAGCCGCTAATCTGGCATGGGCAAAAGAAGGGCAAATTTCATTTCCAATGTATAAAGGAATTATTTGGGTATATTTGGTATTTTTTACATTTGTTGATGTCCACATGGCTAACATGGACGTCCTATTTTTTAGAGGTTTATTTTTGTATTTGTTTTTTGTGTATTTTGTATATTTATTGTAATTGGTTACTTGGACCATTTTTTTTTAGATGGTCTTAGA